GGACTTGAATTATAAATTTTATGTGCCAAAGAAGCTCCATTTTGTTCACCGTACCACTGGTCGCCCGAATTATGGCACCACTCATCGCCAAACTGCAATGCTCTCAACTATTTTGTGCCTTGGAGAGGGAGGTGAACAGCAGGCCCTACAACAGAAATGAGGCTCTCAAGGCTGCCATCAGGGATGCCATGACCAACATGGACAGTGAAGCTGCAGCGAAAAACTTGCTTCAGCCTCCGGTACCGCCTGGAGAAAGTGGTGACCGTCGATGGTGGTTACATCGAATGATATTTGCATCTTATATATGTGCTTAAGTGTGTATAAAGTTTCATTGGAATATATTAATTTGTTATATAAAAATGCTGTTTTTATTAAACATCAATTTTTCTGAATGTAACTTTTATCTGCACCACAATATATATGTCTGTGTGTGTGTGTGTGTGTGTGTGTGTGTGTGTGTGTGTGTGTGTGTGTGTGTGTGTGTGTGTGTGTGCAAAAATTCAAATTGAGTATATCTGTAAAAGGACAACATGGAAACTGATGGTTTTTATCAAGGCAAATGTAAGGCTTTTATTTTGTGGCAAGTATTTATATACAAGAGCAAAAATGTTATTGGCTTTTCAAAATTTTTGGTATAGGTTGCTCATCAATATTCATTAGGTTAACAAAAAAGTCAGACAAGTTTACTCCTATACCAAAAAGTTTAAAAAACCAAAAATATTTATTTATTTATGTTTATAAATACTTGTCACAAAATAAAATCCTTTGCCTTGATAACGTAACCCCAGAGAACAAAATGCGTCGGCTAAGATCAGTTTTCCATTTTGCCTTTATTCATATATATATGTAAGCAAATATATAGATATAGATCCGACAATATGAAGAAAAATATACGAAAAAAACAAGCAAAAATCCTAATATGCAATGTTTTAATGTTAATATAATGTCAACGTCGGACGTTTCGGTCTAGTAGACCATCTTCAGGACATATTCATAAGACATAATTAACATTAGACTATATTTAATTTAACATGAAAAGACGATGGACATAAGAGTAAGACTAATCAAAACTGATAACTGAAATATATATAAAGCCCTTTATTTTGGAGGTGGATAGTGTTTAACGAAATGTCTGCATTCATAGATGTATTCATTGCCATTGTTACAAATATTTGAAGCAATCATATATATATATATATGTTGTGTGTGTGTGTGTAAGTTCACACTGTCTTTTTTGACAACTAGCGGGTGAATGCAGAATTGGAAAAAACAGCTTTTAGCAGAAAACCTCTACGCAACGGCAAAATATATTGTTTATGGAGTGCGGTATAACTTGGCTTTGATCCAATATTTTATTCCCTTTTGCCTTGACTTATTTTAGAGTCTCAGATGGAAATTGAATAACGATGCTCGATTTGCGAGTCCGTCATGTTTTCCACTTCTGTCCAGTGGATTTCATGATTGAAATTTTCAAAATAATGAATAAGCCTATTAATCTTCTGACATATTGCTATATATTGATCACACATTACAAGAAAGAATTAGTCAAAAGAAAAAGAAGACGGGTAATTCTAGTTGTCAAGAGGGTTGAGGTGTGATGGAATCTTTTGCGCTTGCGTTTATAAGTTGGCTATCTTAGCTAAGAAGCAGAGAAAGAAGATTAATGCATATTTATTTATTTATTCATTTATTTTATTTTTTTTTATTTTTTTATTTTTTTTTTTGCTACATATTTTTGATATTCTGTTACTCATTTATAGATCACTTCTGGATTGTGTAGATACTATTCCGACTTTAACAATGATTAAAACTTCACCATTCCACCCAGTTAGATGCGTGTTCAGTCATAGTTATATGGTAACACCTAATCTCCATATAGGTATTTTCTTAGTACTATAGCTCTACAGTAGCCCTATAGGAAATGGAGTAAAGCAGGTCAGCCCATTCTCGAACAGACGTCGTGAATTCCCCACTTCCACTTCCCTTAGTCCTCTGCTTGTCTCGGTGTATCGGCTGCCTGTTCAGGCATGATGTTCTGCTTTGATGTTGGGGCAACAACCTCATGTAGTAACCCTCTACCTAAGTTGGCTCTTGGGCCTTGCGCTGGTGGAAAATATTAAAACATCAAAGAAAAAATATACCAATATAGACGTATCACTACTAAAACGTCCATTGTACAGTCAACTCATGGAATTCCGCATGGAACGAGAAAATGGCTTAATTTCAAAAGAATTCATTTTCTAGCGCTGACCTGTTTCACTTTCAGGGCCATAAGCTTCTCTTCTTGACGCCGCTTGTGTGCAGCACGAATCGCCTGTTTTCGGTTTCGATCCCGCTGTCTCTTCTCCTCTATATTTTGACACTTGCGCAGTCTTTTTTCCTCTTCATCCAACTCCATCCAGTTCACTTTACCGAAAGCTGACCAACGGCTACGCTGATCACAGGAGACGTCGATGTTTCTGTAAATAATAATAAATATAGTTATATATATATATATATATATTAAGACATGTCATTGAATAATTTAGACAAGTTTTATCTACTTATTTTTCAATAGGATCCTCTCATATTCCCGGACAAAGACAGAGAATTACCATGTTGATGCATATTCATTTATGCCGAGTACTTTTGACATTAGCACAATGTCATCACCAGGGTGTTATTTTTTTCTTGTTGGGTTCATCTGAAAGTTAAATTTTTTAACTGTGAAGTGAAAAACGCTAATGTTATGTAATGTACGATTTAAATTTCACTATGTAAACTTCAGGTGAGATAATTAAGTTTTGACATATTCATATGTTTTGTTTTGTTTTTTTTTAAAAAAAACAAACTATTAGTGAAAACCTAGACATTTTAAACTATCTACTGTAAACATTTTAAAACATTTGTGCAGTATTCGTAATCAATGTTATTAAGAGTTGGTTTCCATTTTTCAATATAGATAGCTTCAAAAATTTTAGAAAAAACAACACCCTGATGATGATGTCGAACGTACTCGGAATAAATGAATATGTATCAACATGGTAATTTTCTCTCTTTTAAGAAGCTTGTCCGTGAATATGAGAGGATCCTATTGAAAATAAGTAGACAACACTTATCTAAATTATTCAATGAGACATGCCTTAACGAAAACACGCTGCCAAAGTATACGCAATACATACATATATATATATATATATATATATATATATATATATATATATATATATATATATATAAATTGAATCAAATATGGATAGGAATCCCACAAAATGATAAGATAAAGAAAAAATAGGAAACGTTTATAAATCTACCATGTTTCGCTTTTATTAAAGCTTCATCAAAGAATAAGATATGGAAAAGATTTCTGATATTTTCGTTTTTTTCGCGTTGTTTGATTTCATTAGTTAAGCAGATTTCAACTAGTCAAGCAGCGTTCGTATGTATAATTTATGTATGTATCACAATTCTAGATTGTCAATGTGAGATTCGGGTGATAATATATATATGCATATAACTATTTAAACTCACTTGTAATACACGGGAACAAAACTGGCCATAACTTTGATTTTACAAATGCCACCCTAATAAAAAAGAACAAAATTCTTTACGTCAAAAATATTTTGAGGGAGTTCTGATAAAAAATTTAACACGTGAAAAACACTATATTACATCACCTTATTAATTTCTATTCTCATCACTAGAACAGAATAAAATCTGGAATAATTATAGAATTTTGTTTAAGAACTCTAAAAATCTGCCTTCAACTTTTACCCGATGAAATATACATAGAAAAGACCTTTAAGAATGTCCAATATACTCATTATTTCATCCTCAACGCTAAGAGAAAAGCCATACAAAATATACAACTATAAAAAGATAATGACATTAATAACAACAACAATAAAAATAAATTAGATGAAAACGGACACATCACTTTCTACTAACTCGTTAATATCTACTTTCTAAAAATTGTTTCCAATCTTATCATAGTTGTTCCTTACAATATATATGTGTGTGTGTGTGTGTGTGTGTGTGTGTGTGCTTAAGTGAATAAATTACAAATATTATGTCCGCTTATTTTTATCATAATCCTTTCATATTCACGAATATTTTTCCGTATATTACAATTAAGAAATGAATTGTAACAGTGTGAATCACTTTTATTTCCTAAGTACTTTCCATCTCTTTCTGAGATCATCATCAAGAGTGCAACTGGTAAGGCAAAAACTATGTGTAGCTCTCTCCATTGCTATTGTTTTCTTTTTGCGTTTAAATGCAACGGCTGACAGTTATGATTTAGCGTTCATTAGAACGTGAAAAGTTATCCATTATGGAATTATTAATTTTTCTATTCGTCATTCTGTATATATATATATATATATATATATATATATATATATATATATATATATATATATATTGCTTTTAATCGCAAATAATTATTATTGTTAGGGTGATGCTAACTCACAAGGACAATAACTCAAAATACAATTGAGTTACTTCCTTTGCCTGCTAATCGGAGCGGGCACGTTTCGAATTCAACATAGTGATAAACTGACATGAACGTGGAACTCATGGTTTAAATCCAAACTAATACTTGCAGTTCTCAGGCCGTAAATGAATGAGTTATTTTATTATGTGTTAAAATACACTTGTCTTTTATTTTCATTGGTTTTTTTTTTTTTGCTCTTCCCATCAACCTGGGGTATAAAAATTATTTTGTATTTTCATTCCTTATTTTAAAATTATGGACGTTAGCTTTTGACAGGAACTAACAAAAGTGACCCGAGCTCCCTAACATCAAATGAAAGATTTCTTTTTCTATACCTTCCATTGCACTATGCGCGTAGTTTGGGATACGCCAATCTTTATCTAACAATGATATCTACGTTTGTTAGTTTCATGTTTCGCAGTCGGAATGAAAGAATCAAACTCTGTGTGTGTGTGTGTGTGTGTGTGTGTGTGTGTGTGTGTGTGTGTGTGTGTGTTGCATTAAAGCCGTCAATGTCTGAAGTTTCTCACCTCTTTAGCCAAGGATTTGGTCTCCGTATCACCAGTTTCCCGTCCTGTAAAGAGACGTCAATAGCATCGGCACTGGAAGGCGGCGTTCCTCCCTGGGCACGGGTCTTGCAGCTGAGGGAAAAAAAACAAGCAAAGGGAAATCGAGATAAAATGAGATCTTACTGCGCTCATAAGATCTTTTGTCGTTATAAATACTCATAAATACCCAGTACACGCTTTCCCCGAAAACCGTTGCAGATTTCGGGGCATGTTTACCGTCAAAGGAAAAATAGCAATAAACCTTTTCTATTTCTTGACAAGAGGCCTCATTTTCCGGCCTTGACAGATATTCTTAACCATTAACACGGCCTCGTCGACGATAAATTATTTTCAGACCCATGGACGAAACATCGCGAGCCTCTTACTGCTCTACCACTATTTCTATGTGTTATAGAGTAGTTTCACGGTGAAATGCTTGTATTTCACTAAGTCGGTCCTAAAAAGGTTCGACGTACAAAACGTTAGGAATTTGCTATAATAGTTAATGACGCAGCAATCTAGTTGTGGTGGTTGATACTTTAATGTCCAACATCGACTGACTGACCAACTCTTTGAGCTCCCTGGCGACTGCTACTACTACTACTTATTATATGTAAGAGAGTCTATTAACAATAGAATAGGTATGTTCCAGTATAACACTATGGCAAATGTTCAGAGGAGCTACATTCCTTACTTCTACCAGTTCAGACCTTTACGATCCGCCATGTCACGTACACAGAGCCCGTAAGAAATTAGTGCCGGATTACTGATTGATTCGGATTGCTGATTATCGGATTTGTGTCAGCCAGTTCGTACTACCCTGCTGAGGTCGATCTTCACTTGATGCTCCTATCATGTAACCTTGTGCCAAACCGAGTCCAGTTTAATAAATATATAATAACCCATTTCAGAAATAATTACCGACAAAAACCAGTTGTTTTTGTATTTAGGTTATTTTTTTATCAAGTGGAATAAAGCCAGTAAGACGCAAGGAGTTAGTAAGTGTTAGAAAAAACGAGAAAAATACTATTAAGGATGGAGAACAATAAAAGAATAAGAATTAAGAAGACAAATTTAACCACTGATATTGCATTTAAATTTTTGACGATCACAGTTGACTGGGAAGCAAGAAATTCGGGGAAAAGTTTCGCAACTGAGAACAATCAACCCCCATAGATTAAATAAAGGATACAGTTTGAAATTGCCTGATAGTTACTTGGATTGATAGAACATCTGAAGGAGGCTGGTGGTAGGATGTCTAAAATTTTGTAATAACAAAGATGAAGACTAGTCCAAATGTAAATAATGATAAATCCTCATCGCAGAAATTCAGGCAGAAACTTCTTTTCTACAATTCTTAATCATTTGATGTTTTTTTTAAATCGGTTTCACCCCATGCAAGGCAGAAAAGTCACTAAGATACAAGGGGTTACTGAGTGTTGTTATAAAATAAAATAAGACATATCTCGGCTGATTTACAAGCAAATAAACTAACATACTCAAGAGCGAGAGCCGGATGTGAACGGGACAAAGCCCCGTCACAAAATGACTATTATCTTCGTTTACAAATGTTCCCGACGCACGAGTTCCGGTCGAAAAATAAAATAATATTTAAACTGTTCTATTTTTCGTCCAATAAAAATGCTTCCCTTCTAATTATACTCGCGTCGTTTTTCGAGCCTGTTAAGCCATAAAAAAAAACACCATAAAAGGGATCACAGGGAAGTACAACAGTCAGTCAACAGGTGGCCAGGGAAGAGACCTGTCACGGTCAGGCCAAGCGGTCATCAGCTGTCAGCAAGAGAGCGCCAGAATCAACATGTGTGAACTACTATGAGAGATCGACCTAGATCCGAAGCCGGCTTATGAACTATCCCACAAGGTAGCTGTCCCAAACCCTCACGTTCATGTTGAAATAAATCTCGTAAATCTATTTCTGCTGTTGTCGTATTTCTTTCTTGCAACCATACGCTTGTCTATAACAGTGTGAAAAAATTAGGAACAGATACATTACTAATGAGCAGAAAGAGAAAAGAGCAATCGGGAGGACAGTAGACAACGACTGTCATTGCATTTAAATTTTTTGCAGATTTTGGTCGGAAAGCATGGAGCCGCAAGGAGGTTCTACATGCAAGAGGTGCGAGAGAAGAAACTGTTAGCATAGAACTTACGGTTACATCTAGACATCTTTTGCACAGATTTAGTTTCAGATTAGCACAATCGGTAAGTAGCTATCGGGCTTACTCACTCCAAATAGTTTTTTAGATCTTCTTGAAGACTTCGTTTCCAAGCTGCCTCCAAGCGAAAAACAACTTCCTCTTTGACTGGGTTGAAAATGGAAGCCGACACGAAATCCTTGGTATTCAAGAGGGTGTTGTAAATTGTGTCTCTTACTTTGTTGCAAATTTCTAAAGGAAAGAAGGAATAAACAAAAAACACCTGCTCAAACAATGAAAACAAATTAGGTTATATCAACCTAAAACTTATATATCTAATGAAGTGTCAAATATACGATAGTTCCTGACATAGTGTTATCAAGATATATTTAAATAGGTGTTCTTTTCTAGTACATCATTTATTATTGTAATTTAGATATTCTACTATCATATTAAGTTGCAGCACAGAAAACCTACATAATTTTTCATAATTTGCATTATCAAGATATATTTAAATAGATGTGTTTTGAAAACGAAAACCAATATTGATTGCTTGATTTGTTCTTTTTTACCGTTTATCAACCCTTTACAGGTTATTTAAAGCCAGAAAATATTTTTAGATTGTAAGATTTTTTTGGTGGGGGTGGGGTACATAATAATGTTTTAGTAATACAATCCTTACTAATTAACCCTTAGCTGGGAGAGAAGAAGTGAATTCATACCTTTCCTAATGATATTTGTGCCTAAGTGAATATACCGAACCCAGTGGGAATTGAAACTCGGCTCTCCATTACCCATTCCACCGCCCGCACATTCAAGCTTCTTACAGCACTTGGTATTCCTAAGCGGCAACCCATGTAGGTATTGACCAGGCTCGATGTTGCTTAACTTCGGTGATCGTACGAGAACCGGTGTTTCAACGTTTCGAAAACCAATAGCCATTATGTATACAGGTAACGCATTGTACACAAGCTTAACAGAGATCGACATCGCAAATTACAATGTTAAACTTGTGGTAAAAACAGACAAAAACAATTACTTTCGTTACAATTTTCAAACTTCCTAAAATGTGTAACTTTTGCATAAAAATGTAAACAAGTAAATATTATAGAAATATACATTCACGTGCCCACGAGTTTTTGCTTTTTTCATATTTTTGTCACACACATACACTCCAGACACTTTGAAACATTTTGATGTCAGTGGTCCTAAAATATGGTCTCTATAGTTACGCTCTATCCTAGCTGTCTTTCCTTCATATTTTTCTTTGTATTTCCATGAACATGCATCATAATAAAAGTAGCTAAGGAGATAATTAAGAATACACTACAAACATATGGAATAAATTAGACTTCTTTAGTATTCACGAGTCGGAAAATGTCTCACTTTTATTGTTTGTAGGGGAAACAGCGAGTAAATTATCTAACGAGCTCGTGTAATGAATGACAAAACAAGGAGTGAAAGGAATAGCAAAAGGACAAACAATGCTAAAAGCTAGAAAGGATAGGAAATGTGGAGAACCATGACCACCCACATCCTGAACGGAGACGACACGAGAAGAAGAAGACGAAAGAAGAAGAAGAAGACGAAAGAAGAAGAAGAAGAAGAAGAAGAAGAATGTTTCATGGCTTACGGCCATATCACGCTGAAACACCGAAATTAAGAAACTTCAGTACCTAGACGCATGACTGCTTGGGAGCATCAGGTACTGTAATCTTGGATGTGCGGATGGTGTAGTGGATAACGGCTCGGAATTGGAGATTGGAATTGCTGTGGTTTGCAGATCTACCCTTTTCTAATTAAATAATGTTTTATTTAGTTTTATTATTAATTAAATAATGTTTTATTTAGACATAGAAATCGAGACAAGATGAAAGAAAGCCAACGAAGTCAGTGACCAACTTGCTCCTCTTCTAAAACATTCGAGCATTTCCATGAGCACCAAGGCAAATCTCATCAAAGCCATTTTCCTACCAACGCTGACATACCAGTGCCAGACATGGCCCCTAACAAAAACGCTTGAGAGAAAACTGATCACTTGTAAGATGAAATGCCTGAGGAAAACAGTGAACAAGACCAGGCGAGACAAGATCAGGAATGAGGCAATAAGAGGTACGGTACATACAACACCTCGAACGACAGAGGATCAAGTGGTTCGGACATCTCGTATATCTATCAACCAAGCGGCCCTACGAGCATACACCCTCAGGTGCTCTGGCTTAAGAACGAGAGACAGACCAAGAAGACGCTGGAGTGACTCAGTGGCAGACACTCTCAGAGCCCACGAGATATCTCTTCCCCAGGGCACTCGCCTTGTCACTGACAGACGACTTGTCTCCCCGCGATGCCTAACAGCACAAGCGGTAGGAAAAACTAAAATAAACTTATTTAATTTACTGCATTTTTTATTTTACGGTTCAAGGTAGATTTTCTGTACCTGGGGGTCCTGTTTGACCAAAAAAAAAAATTAATGATTTAAATTCTCCGAGGACTTGTTTTTATAACTAATACAAACATTAAGCATTATAAAAAAAGAATTTCTCAAAATTTCGTAAAATTAAATGAATGGTGAGTAAGAGATATGAAAAAAATATATTTTTTTTACCAAGACTTTCTAAAAAAAGGAACATTTCAAAAATAATTCCTGAATAAGTCCTGAAACTTTCATAGAAATCCGACTATTATCCGATTTGTGCAAACATTTTGGAATAAATGTGTTTTTCATCGCAAAAAAATCAAATTTCACATACAGTGTAACCCGGATATAAGAGACCCGGATATAAGAGAAACCCAAATATAAGAGAGATGTTCTCTGGTCCCAAATTAGAGCCTGTGTTAATGTATATAAATTAGACCCGACCCGGATATAAGAGAAACCCGAATATAAGAGACTTCTTCTCCGGTCCCGACAACTCTCTTATATCCGGGTTACACTGTACTAATTTATAGTCCCGCGTTGACACCATTTTGAATTTGAACTAAAATTTCGAAATGAATTTAAAAAATAATTTTTGCATAAAAAAAAATCTTTGATCTTTTTTCTTAATATTAATACAAAGGTTTTGACTATGAAATTTTGTTTTTATTATGTTTAGTGCATTTTTTTTTTCATCATTTATTCTCTTTTTGGGCGGTAGCTAATTAAATTAATCTTTTTATTTTCTTTGCCACGATCGTATATTTTGCAAGATAAAATCTAATATAAATCTATGCTGTTGCAAAGTTGTTTTTGTCTGTTTGCAAGATGGCTTCGAATGAGTTTAACTGGTTGAATTTGTTATCTAAGAGAAAGGCAAGTGTGTTTTTCTTTTTAACACTACACTAATCTACATTGTTTTTAGAAATAAAGAATGGTTTATTTGCATTTTAATCTGAAGTCATGATTTGTTTATGTACTGGGTTAATATTGCATCGCTGCACTCTTCAGTGGCGCAATACTTGAATAGGAAGAGGCAGGGCGAGCTGCAAAGTTCATCACGCGTCAATCGCGTTGCCATAAGAAAAACCAGAAAGATGTCTTGTAGCTAACCAAGGTACACTGTTGCTTTGTGTCTTGTTTTATCTCTGGTCTGACTAGCTCTTGTTTGTTTATTTCTTCTTTTTCCTCTTCTTCTTTTTCTCTTCCTTTTTTCCTCATCCTCTTCTTTTTCCTCTGCCTTCTCCTCCTCCTCTTTATCTTCTTCCCTTCCGCCTCCCCTTCCTTTTCCTCTTCTTCTTGCTTCTCCGCCCCTTCTTCTTTTTCCTCTTCTTCAGCGTCTTCTCCTTCTGCTACTGCTTCTCTTCTTTCTTTACCCCTTCTTCTTCTTCTTCTTCTTCTTATTATTATTATTATTTTTCTTCTTCCTCCTAAACTTCTACTTCGTATTCTTCCTATTCTTTTTCTTCATCTTCTCCCCCCCCCACTTCCTCCTCCTTTCTTCTTCTACGTATTCTCTCCCTTCCCGTCCTTCTTCCTCCTGTTCTCGTTCTTTTTCCTTTACTTCTCTCTCTTCCTCCTCCTTTTTTCATCTTCTTTTTCCATTTTTTTTCTTCGTCTTCGTGTTCTCCTCCTCCTCCGCCTCCTCCTCCTTCTTCTTCTCTTGCTACTACTCCTTCTTTTCTTCCTCTCTTCTTCCTCTCCTCCTCTTCATTCTTCTTCTTACGCGGTTCTGTCACCTGCCTCTGTTGCCCATTGAATAACATTCCTCACATTATTAAAAACATTTTTTTTTTTTGCGGAGAACACACTCACAGACGGGCCTACGTACACAAACTTTTTTACGTGTCCATGTTATTGTAATTAATACTCACCAATGTTTGGTTTATCGTGGTTGCCGATATACTTGTGATAAATATCCCAAGCTTGCCCCTGCCGAATGTGTCGGTCAGTGGTTTTCGTATCCCCCGACCCATAGTCATTCACGTCCTGCCAAAATGAAAGAATCTTCAACAAACCGCCATTTTTCTTCCTGAAAACACAGCAATAAACATGAAAGAACTTAAGATTTTAGTATGAAGTTGTATAGAACTGATATTATACAACTGTTAAAAAGTTTGTTTTTTTATTATAGAAAATTAAGTGAAGCATTGGGTTGATGTCCTCTCGAGGAGGCACCTCGCCTTGAGAGAATATTAGGACTCAAACTCATACCTGACCACAAGGGGAACACTTATATTCGATCCATCACTAAAGATGCCGGTAAAATGGCTGGCTCCCTCTACAGCTCCAGTCTGTACCTGCTTCCTCATGCTATCATCTACCTTTATAAGAGCCAGATCAGACCGAAAATGGAGTACTGTTGCCATATTTGGGCAGGAACTGTCCAATACTCACTTTCCAGTCTTGATTGAGTTCAGAAGTGTCTCCGAGTCTTTGTCGGAGAAAAATTATTTCCAACTTCCAACCTCTCACTCTCACAGGCGCGATGTGGCGAGCCTCTCATGGCTCTATCGCTTCTTCCATGGAAAGTGCTCAGACGAACTACATACATTTCTTCCGCCAGGCCTAACCTTCATGGCCAGGACCCGCTGTGCCACTTACATAGTATCAAACCATCCACATTCCCCCCGTATTCCATCGGAGAGATGTAAATTCAACTCAGACACATTCTTTCCGCTAACCATTGCTTTGTAGAACCGACTCCCAAGAAGACGTTTCCCCAATCACTACAATCTTAAACTGATCAAGTCTAGAGTTAACCGTTATCTTCCACTCCTATCCATATAACGTAACCCTCTACCTTGAGTGCTCTCCGAGCCTTGTACAGTTTGAACCTTACTATAAAAAAATAAAAAATACTTTCTCTTCTTTGAAGACATTGATTGATTAAGCGCCCGTAAACGCCATGATTCTTTCGTTAGCTCCATAGTGTGTGTTTCGCCAGGGCTACATCTATTTTATGTGCCGTGTCTCCTCAGGACATTGGCGATCATGGCTCTCCATAATTTCCTGTTCTTCGTGACTATTAATAAATTTTGTCTTTTTGTTATTTCTCCTAAACTTTGTTCCGCCATCCATTTACTCAAGCCCACTAAGTAGACATCGGTTTCCTTTGTCCCTCTTGCCCTCAATATTCCCTGGGAGTATCAAATTTTCCAAACCCTCTTTCCTCATTATGTGCCCTAGAAATTTCAACTGGCTCATCCTGATGTTAAATATAAGTTTCCATTTTCTTTAAAACTTCGCCATTGCTTCCATGTTCACTTCATGGTATCTTCAGTATCCTTCTGTAGAACTATTGTCAATCGAGGTTAGAGAGCCCAGTCTGTTCTGTTATTTAACCCATAACTGGGAGGGAGAAGAGATGGATTCATAACTTTCACAATAGCTAAATTGAATGTAATGAACTCGGTTGCAATTCGAATCCGGCTCTCATATTTCCAATTCCGAGCTACTAACCTTTACACCACCCTCACGCCCATTTCTGAAGATATAAGAATAAAATAATTATGATTCTATATTAAACTTTCAAATATCTGATGCAGGTTTCATAAATTACAACCAAATGAACCTCGAAATTTGCGCAGCAACCAACAATTTGATCTTTGCTAGGGCGTATCTGCAAATTTAATCGATGACCAGAGATTTTAGAAGCGTATAAACAAATGGAAACACAAAAGGACACTTATACTTAACATCAGAAAGAAACAGTTGAAATTTTTAGGGTACATAATGAGGAAAGAGGGCTTGGAAAATATGACACTCACAGGACAGACTGAAAGCAAAAGGGACAGAGGAAAACAGCACATAACCTACCTAACTAGCTAGTGTAAATGGGTGACAGAGCAGGGATTAGGAGAGATAGCAAAAAGACATTATTTACTAAGAGCTCCAAAGGACAGGAAATTGTGGAGAGCCATCATCAACCAACGTCCCGGAGGGATATGGCACATAGAAGAAGAAGAAGAAGATACTTTTTTTCTGTTTTCACAATCCCTATATGCTTTTACTTTTTTCACCAAGAAGATAATTCTGGTGTACATAAATACATATCTCTCTGCATAAAAGCCAATGCCCGTCGCTTTGTAACACACAAAACATGCCACGCTATGATTTTTTTTTTAAATTCCGTCTCGATATGCGATGAAAGCCAGCTTTGATTTACGTACTTCCCATAGAACAATTGATGTAGGAATTACAAAAACTTAACTTTCTATGACCTGCACTCATTTATTAACACCAACGGGCACAACTCGAAGTGGTGTAATGGTTAACAAGCTTGTCTTGCTAGATCAATTACGACTGAATCGGGAGTTCGATCCTCACTGAGTGCCAAACACTTTCGGCCTTATGCCACATCTAAGCTACGCTTTGAAAATCGCCATAAAATGGCGCAACGGTTATCAACACGAAAGATTAGGATGTTGAGTTTAAATTCCAACCCAAGTCTGTTGCGTTCTCTTTCGTCCTAATGCTCTTTTTCATTCTACGCCTAGCTGTGAGTGAAATATACGGATAAATTAGACACTATAGCCCTGTCTGGCAGTCATTGTAAGAGAACAACAACTCGCAGAGAAGACAACGGTAAACCAATCCGCCATCATTCGCAAGTGTTCTTTGTGATTCACAGATAATAGAAAAATTGCGCTAATTACCTGTCGCTCGTGAAAAATAGGAAAACGTTGGGACGGGGCAATTTTTATGGATTAGCATTGATTAGAGCTTCCTCGTGCAGAATATACAAATATTAATTTTATTTTTATCATTTTGGAAGTCGAGCCCAGTTCATAATATAAGATATATCAATCCCTGACTTCTTAAATTGTTATCTTTACTTTGTTTTAATTTATAAATGTCATTTCAGACTGTGCTTGCGCCATTGCTAAATACATACTATTATGAATTTAAAAAAAAGAACAAAATCAGTATTATGCAGTCAGGGCTGGTGCAAGGTTCTTGTGCACCACCACCCGAATCTATGATCCCCCACCCAATTAAAATGAGTAAATAATACTTTTTTTTATTATCGACATACTTATAAGTTACAAGTGGGTAAAAGTGACTTCAGCTTTGACCCACACGTCTCATATAATTCAATATGCTTTCTGCTTGCACTCAAAGTTGCATTTGACAATGGCAATAATGCGTGACCTGTGAAAATAGGCCGAGGAGAATTATCAGTTCTGTTTCTTATTTTATCATTACGATAAGACAGATTGAAAATAGACACTGATAATGTTGCAATATCATCAGATTAAAAGATTACGATACTTAGTTACTTAGGAAGGTAGACGGAATGGTTTAAATCCGTGGTCGTTTTGTTTTTAAGTCCAATGATAAAGCAGATTTATTCTTAAAGGCACCGATATTCAGATAACTTAAAGTAGTTGGTTACACATTTTACTGCATCATCTTACTTACAGTCATTGCTACGTGAAGCAAAATTTACCCAGGGTATCCATAAAGATGTACATTTTGATGGAAAGGTTTGTAAAAATCTACATTCAGATAAAATCACTCGCTAACAATGATTGATACATAGTTGCCAATCTCTATCTATAAAAGGCAGGATGTGTGTGTGTGTGTGTGTGTGTGTGTGTGTGTGTGTGTGTGTGTGTGTGTGTGTGTGTGTGTGTGTGTAACGAATGCACGGCCGCAATTTTTGACGGATTTGCACCAAAATTTACATGCACATGCTCCAAGTTAGCGACCGACTTTGCATTTCCCAACTCCCATCGATTGTGGAAATAATCAATTTTTTCATGCTTCTACGGCAGTTTTATGTAGTTTGCGGCCATTTTCTACTGGCCAGAGTGAGAGCCTATAGCTGGCTGCCACGAATAGGCAGGAAGATTCTATTGGCCAGCGTGAGAGCCAACAGCTGACTGACACGAATGTTAACTAGCATGCAAAAAAAAATAGATAGCTGCATTCGTCACAAGTGGGAAAGATTTAAATCTGCATGGCACTTTACTCCAATTGGCGCATTCGCTTGCTTAAACTCAACGTTGATTCTGATTCCGCAGAACTGGGTTGGGTGTGAAAAAGTATTTGTTGTTAACATTCTTTTTTCATTCGGTTTTTCCAGTTACGAGTCCTTTTTTTAAAGCTGATCGTTTTGTGTTCATTTTGTTTAGTTCTTTTTTCGTAACAGATTTAATGTTTAGTATAAAGCTTAGAAAAAATTCGCAGTGTGAGATAGGCAAGAAGTAAGGCATGTAGCAACATCAGCACGGAAAAGGGCACTCCTTTAAAGGCAAGGAAGGGCAAAAATATTTTAAGTCAAGTGATAGCGATTGCTGTATGAGTCGTACGATTTTTGAATCAAGCACGGTCAACGCCGGGCCATGCTGCTAGTTGCGATATATATGTCTTACCTAGCTAGGTATAGTGTATGATTGTTATTGTGGAAAAGGAAGTAGTTTCAGAAGGAAACGAACCTCTAACCAAGTTCACGCATTAGGAAGAGGAGACATTACTCAATTTTGCAAGTAACCAATTAGTCGTATATATAAAAAGCGTTGTAAAAAACAATTTATATTTACTCACCTGATCAGATATTGACGGAAGGCGCCACCAAATTTTTGGTCATTTGTTAATGCTATCAGAAAACGATTTGAACCATCTCTAGAAAAGAATTAGAGAGCTTAATACGCAGACTTGCCAATAATAATTCTCACTAATAAAGCAATTAGTCAATATTTAAAAGCGAAAATCAATGTTTCAATCAGAATCAACTTACAGACACGGAGATGCACATGCGCAGACATGATATCCTGAGTACACCCGCATCCGCTTGACGTCGTTTTAAACTGACGATTTTTTTTTTTTTTATATATATATTAAACTATAATTGCAAACTTTAATTTTAGAAAGTGAAAATTTCACAGAAATATGTTTGGAGATTTCCAATTTTTAACTTGAAAGCAAGAAAATATACATTCTAAGTAAGATGGTCAAAATATTTACAAAAAAAGATGTCTGTTTAAATTGACGCTAGGAGGATAAGATATGGGTTAAGAAGAAAAATATATGAGGAAATATCCAAGCACAACACACACACACACATATATATATATATATATATATATATATATATATATATATATATACTACCAGTCAAAAGTATTTGGCCACCCTCAAAATATTTTATTTCTCATTCTAAAAGCGTTATTTTCAATGAAAAAAAAAGTTATGCACCACAGTGGTTTTCCCTATTATACTAAATAAAATATACAAGTTAAACCAAAAAAAAAAACAAAAAAATTCTTAAACTTTTGCTTCATCAAAATGACCCCATTTGGCTGCTATCACCGCTTCATAGCTTCTCAGCATTCTTTCCACCAAAGATTAAAGATAGTTCTGTCCAGCTTCCCCGCAAGATTTGTCAAAGATGAGACGGACTTGTGGGTTGTTTGACTACGACTTTTCGGTCAACTTCATCCCACACCAGTTCAATGTGATTTAAGTCCGCTGATTGCACGGGCCAAGACATCAGTTAAAGGACGTATTATTCCTTTTTTGCTTTTAATGTACCTCTAGCAGAGTTTACTAGTATGTTTTGGGTCATTGTCTTGCATGAGTACAAATCTTTGACCCACAAGCCGCGTTCCAGATGGGATTGCGTGATGCTGCAGTATAGCGTTTTGCCCTTTACCTAAAGCAAATCCCCGACTTTACAATTGGCAAAAGCCACCCCCCACATCATAACAGAGCTTCCTCCATGTTTTACGGTTGGTGTGATATAGAGGGCTGCAGCTTTAACCAACTCTTTGCCGCATATAGACCATCCTATTTGACCCAAAGATTTCGAACTTAGATTCGAGTTTATTCCACTGCTCTATTGTTCAGTCTCTGTGCACATTGGCCCATTGGAGACTTTTCATATAGTTTTGATTCCTCAACAGTGGTTTCTTGACAGCAATTCTGCCATATAGGCCAGCTTCACAAAGTCTTCTCTTCAGAGTGGATGTTGACATTTTTTTCACGACATTGGTTCAGTTGTGCAGTGATGTTTGGAGTCTTCTGTCACGCAAGCTAGTGACTCTGATGAAATTGTACTCTACTCTTGTTGTTGCTTTTAGTGTACCAGTCATACTTTTGGTCTTGTTTTGTCTTGTTTCTTGAAGTCTTCTAACAGTATAATCCACTGTAGTACTAGGAATTTTTTTTTTTAATTCTCTGCTTGAATATCCTTCTTTTTTTTCTTCTTTTTTTTTTTTTGTTCAAGTGTAAATTCACGTGTTTTGAGCATTTTGTTGAGAAAAATGTTTTAATATTTATTATTGTAAATTTACAAAAATTGTGACGCAAGGCCAACAGGAGAAATGGGGCGAGGCCGGTCATCATTAACTATCCTATATCTTGCTAATCCGATTCACGACCTTCATTCATTATAAGTAAGACATATACCACAAGAAGTCATCCTTCACTTTTTATTCCTACATATACCACAATACCCCATACACAAAGGGAAAATGCAAAAACACCACGTGATTTAAAAATTTCTTAAGTACATAGAATATATATATATATATATATATATATATATATATATATAGATATATATATTTATAAATTTAAAGATAATATGAAATGAGAGGGAGGGTATGAATCCCCAATTACAAACTAAAATATAACAAAATATCGGACAGAATATAACATGTTAGTAAGACCCGTCCACCCCACAAAAATAAGAGTTGCCGCCATATTGTGTCTTCTAAGAAAATCAAGAAGCTGAATATCTAACGGAGTGGGAAAGTTAAAATAAATATGGGCATTGGGGAAATAAAGGACCGAACCAGTCGAGATGAAAAAGGAGGCCAAAAAAGAAACTGGGGAGGCTGGGAATCTCTACTTGTATCATAACAAAAAGGAGAAGCCGAGAACAGGTCGGGAACGACACTCACATTAACTAGGTACTGTTGATCGACCCTGTCAAATGCCTTGGACTGATCCAAATTGATCAGCGCAGCTTACTCGTCCTCTTTTACACAATCTAGGATCGTACGGATCAGATTCAGATTGTTCTGAATTGTTCGGCCTTTCACAGCACAACTCTGCTCGGGTCCCAACAGAATCTCGGTAACTGTCTACAAACATTCCGTTAGGGTATTAGCCAAAATATTTAACTCTGTGTTTAGCTGAGTTATGGACCTGTAATCATCTATTTCCGGTCCACCATACTTGCCTCTTTTCAACAGTGTGATTACACCCCTGGTGATCCGATTGGGGATGGAACCCTGTCGGAACTAATTGTTGAACAGGACAGTCAAAATCGGGACAAAGATGTGCAACAGCCTCAAGTACAATTCATAGGGTAAACCATCAAGTCCTGGAAACTTGCCTCTGTCGAGCCTCTTCAATGCCAATTCGCCCTCCGTAATCTCACCGTCACAGCTAGCCGCTTCAGTCGGAGAAAGCCGAGGAAAGTCAGCCAAATAGTCGCGAAACTCTTCATCACAGACCAGGTCCATTGGTAAAACGGCTCTGGAAATGCCGCCGAAACGCCTCGAGCATATCATCAGTCGACCTCAGAGCACGCCCCTCTGGGCATCCCACCAAATGTACCGATCGGAACCTCGACTAATCTCTTCCTTGCGCAAATCTGCGCCTATGTTCACGGCATGGTTAGACATCTTGTTTAACCTGTGCCTAACTACCTGACCGTTGTAGCGCTCGCTAGCAGCGCGCTACAGAGCCTGCCTAGCTAAACCTATCTCTAAGGAGAACCCCAGTCTCCGCTATCTTGACATTTTGCCTCATCTAGTGCGAGCCGCTGGATATATTCGGTGGTGAAGGACCTAATGATATACTTAAGCCTCTCCCACCAACTATTCTCAATAACCGACCCCACTAATTCAAGCTGCACTAGTCTAATTAGCTGTTGCTGGAAGTCCCGCCTGTCCACTAAACTTCCAATACCCAGCCATTCTCGGCCTAACATCTAACGCTATCCGAGCACAGACGAGAATATGGCACGAATAGCCAAACCAGTGGAACGTGGGACAATCTAGTAAGTCTGTATCGGTCCTTCTCACTAGCATTTTCTCCAGGTAGCTGGTTACATGGGTAGAAGGCCACTTATGTGCCCACGTCCACATATTCCGCCCAGAGACCAGACTCGCCGATCAGATTGACCAGGCTACGATTGCTCGATGCCCACCCGCTAGTTCCCCGCCTCCTGTCTATATTGTGGTCCAGGATGGCATTCCAGTCCCCCACTAAGACTAAGCGCGAAGAATCAACCAGGAAAGGCCCTAACTGATGGAAAAACGAGACACGCCCCCCTCTGATCGCTCGGCGCATAAACCGCAACGACCCGAAACGAACTAATGTTCACGGCATTATCGGCCACGATCAACCGGTACCCGCATCGACATGGACAAGGTTCACCCTCGTATCCTGAGTACATTTAACCAGCAAGGAAACACCCCCTGGCCAGCTGGTCGCCGTATGCTGAATAGACGACATAATCGTTAGACAGCACACAAACATCAACCTCGTTTCCTGGATCGCAGCCACATCTACGCCGAAGGACTGGAGATCACGAAGCAGGCGGACAGCCTTACAACGATACCTCAAGCCCCTCGCATTCAAAGTCGCTATCTTAAGAAACACTTTTCAAGTTGATTCCCTTAGTCACAGACTGGACGGAAATCTGCGCTTGAAAGGACCCCGATGGATTGTCTTAGGCTGCCTGTCCCCATTTCTGCTGTCATGCAAATATCCAGAACAATGCCGCCGACGTCCGTGTGATACGAGAGTTTTAGGACTCTATATAAAGATGAAGAATAACTGGGACACTCCTGGAGCAATCTTTTTAATTCAGTTACCCCCATCTTCACCATTCTGGTTTTCGGAAAAGCATCTTTCGCCTCAGAGAGGTGGTCCCATACTTTGAGATCCCTCGCTGTGTTAGGTATCCAGGTGGCCTGTGGCCTTCGGAAAATTCCGTATCCAGTTACTCCTGTGGCCTTCGAAAAATTCCGAGGGTCTTCCACAGATTTCCCGTCTACCGAAGAAATTTTAGTGGTCTTAATAGTATTCTTTTTGGGAACTAGTGTTCCTGTTCGAGGGCCTGCCTGTCTACTTGACAGGACTTTCCCCCCTGGGATACTTTTTTTTTCTTTTTGGGGGAAGTGAGAGAGGGTCCTTGTAATGCTTTGTTTATTTTTAGTTAGCGAAGCAGAGACGGATTGGGATTCTGGATTCTCCATGGACTTCTCCGCTATACTTCATCCAGCTTGTTTGTCTTTCTTTGTGATTTTTTCCTCCTTTTTTTCTCTTCGTCTCCCTCTCTCACTCTTTTCAAGGAGGAAGACTGATGTGGATACATCTCTTCCATTTCCATCTCTCTGCATTTTTGCTGTTCTGAATGGAGGTTCTTCTGCCGCTCCTCATGTAGTTCCTCCTGTTGTTGTCTTTGCTAGCTCTCTTGCTCTAGTTGGGGGCTTCTTCTTAACATGTTGCTGCTGTTGTTGCTGATCACTTTTGGTTTCTTTTCACTCCGGCTGGTGGGTAGGGGTTGCCACTTTTGTCTCCTTTTTAGCTATTTCCGTCCATACTCCTGAAGCTTTCACGACTTTTGGACTTTTCTAAACTCCTTCATTTTTCTTAGTGCTTTGTGGCTGGATTTGCGGTTCCGATCTCTTTCGAAGGCATGCTTTGGAGAGATGGCCTGCAGCTCCACAAGCCCAGCGGAGAGGTCGGTACCACTCTACGACTACTATATGGGGCATCAATGTATTTGGAATTCCCATGAAATTCT